GACGCTGCCATAGAGACGAAAGACGTAGAATTAAGAATCACGCGAGGGATGAGACGCGAGTCGGTGATGGAGCGGCCAAGATGGGGAAAGTAATCGCGCACGGAATGAAATCCGATGGCTGCGTTACGTAACCCCGTCCGGCTCCTCGCCCGAGAAACGTCTTCGGGCGGCGAGCCGCGCTGGCTGCTACATCGCACCCGACACGTAGGAAAGGCGTTCTCGCGCCTCGTCCGCTGCCTCGACGCGTCGCACGAATTTCAGAGGAAAAAACGTGATCGATCGCGTAACCGCGCGCGCGGTCAGTTGGCCGGCCGGTCGGTTGCTCGTTCACTCGCTCGCCTCGCGACTACAATTTATGTCTAGTCTCGCGTGCACGACCGCGCGCGCGGTGCATCGACCCATCTCTCTTTCGATTCGCCGCGATATTACACGTCGCGTATATATATGTGTATATACGTATATGAAGAGGAGAGAGAGCACATCGTAAAGCCGCGCGCGACATATGTATACATACGTAAATATGTACATGCACGTGTGTGTGTGTATACACACGCAATACATATGGCGGCACGCGAATCGCGTCCACGCCTGCGTTTCGATCATCACGCGAGAAGAACGGCTGCTATTTTCACGCGGACTTCGCTGATATCGTCACCGCTGCTGTATGCGCGATAAGCAGCGTAAAGTTTTCGTAATCTCGCCCGCTCTCTGTATGTGATACTCGACTCTTCCTCTCGATTCCGCAATTCGAGTGCAAGAAGAGAGAATCGCGTGGTCTTTTTCACGGGTATTTTCTCGCTCTTATTGTGCGAATTCGGCCTGGGCGTCCACGATTTTTCTCCGATAGCCAGCTATCTTTTGCACATATATATATATATATATATATATACACATACATACATACATGCATGCACGCACGGGAAGACATACGCACTACGCACAGCGTCGTGCCGCTAATCGACTGATCGCATAACGTCGTAATTATAACGGGTCGCGGAAACAAGGTCGCATATAGCATTCCGATAATAGAGCTTCGTAGTCGCGAGCGATTTGCGACGAAAGTGGGAATTCCGCGCCCCGTGGTTTTTCAGCCGCGCGCCTCGGCGATTTGCATTATGTAATGCCTATGTATGCGAGAGTTCATCACTCGTTTTTCGATTAAATGATGCGCTGAACATATGAGTGGTCTAATTGTCGTGTCATGGGAATCTGAGGAATCACGCGGTACCTTATTATTACATAAGTTCTCGAAAAGACGCATTTTCAAACGCCATGATCGCAGTGGGAAGTTTCAGTGCGAGTAGCCATAAGTAAGCTACTGAAAGAAAAATTTGTTGACAATTATTAACCCCTTGTCCACATTCTTGCTGTAAGACGTAAACAATAAGCAAATTGGCTTAACCACAATAGATTATTTTTCTAATAAATAGCCGTGGTTGGTCAATTTGATTACTATTTACATTTTAAAATAAGATTGTAGACAAGAAGTGAGATTCAGTTAAATAGTTTCAACCAAATTTTGGTTACTGCAACTAAATTATTTAATACTCTCTAAAGTGTAATCAATGTATTATCACTGAAAAATACTTAATAGTTAATAGTTGGGGGTCGTTATAACTATAAGTATAGAACGATAAATCAGCAAAATTTCATTGAAAAAATCTATCAATAGTGCACTGAAAAACGGACTTGGTAATAAGTATTAAAATTTGGTGAATATTTGCCGACCTAATATTTGATTATTACAATGAAATAATTTAATTCCATGTACTGTATACACGGCATTGGGTGCGTGTGTGTAGAATTAAGTGTATATTATATATTTAATATACGGAACTAAATTATTTGGTTGCAATAATTAACTATTTAGTCGGCAAATATTCACCAAATTTTAACATTTATTACCAAATCCTGTTTTCAGTGTCGCAAACTCAAAAGCCAGAGTCTGGAGTTTGAGTCTCATTAGAATAAGTGTGCTTTTCAAATATGAAATAAATTAAATCTATTAAACATAATTAAAAATATTTCAGGCAAAATCATTGACAGTACCTCAAAATAATAAAAAAGAAATATTCAATATCTTTATTCACTGTTTCTGCAATTAGATTTCTCCGATGGAAATAGTTGCTACTATTAACAGATTTTTGCAGTAAAATTTTACTAATTTGCACTGCTATACTTATAACTATGACTACTGTGTGACTATTGACTCAATGATAATACACTAATTGAGAGAGAACGAAAGATAAAAGGCGATCTTCTTGCCGATTAACGTCAAACGTCATTGGTGCGTATTTCCTCGGCTATTAGATCGCGTCCGGATCGAAAAGCGCGATTCACGTTTTCGCAAAGCGCGTCTCGCTCGATGACCGACAACGACCACTGAATTAATTAATAGTTGGCGTCGGAAGTTTGAGGATCTCGGTGCTTCGTGACAGTCTAAACTAGGATTCGATTTTTCGATCAGCTTGCGGTATATTTTTCAGAGCAAATATTTAATTCAATCATTGTCGAGAATATAAGATCCGCATGTAAATGAGGATCTTGGATTGCGTCTCGCAGACACTCCTTACTCTCTCTCTCTCTCTCTTTCTCTCTTATCCCAGGAAATATAATCATGCCACTATACTGTAGGATAGAAAATCTGGAAAAGTGGCCCAAATTCGATTCAGAAAATAGCATGAAAAAGTATTTTATTATAATATGCACCTCTTACAACTTTTTCCAAAGTTTCATGATAGTTGTATAGTTACCGTTTATATAGTAACCATTTGAATTAAAAAAAAATATATATATAGTTCTTGTATAATTAATTTGAAGAGAAAATCGTTAATTTTGTTATATATATATATATCTAAAAGTAAAATATCTGTTAATTTTTTGTTATTTTAAGACATAAACTACTTTAAAAAATCATACTAGAATTTTGACAATAAACCTATAGTAAAATACACTTTATTATTTTGAAATATACTATAGTTTTAAAGCTATGAAAGCTCCGCTGATAATCGGTGATAATTGCTGACACCACTAAAAGTAAAACGTCATTAAATGCACATTCACAAGTGTTATAAGAAAATCATGCCCATTTTTGCCTGTTTCCACACACTTCTCTGATGGAAATATTTTACGGAAAATATAATAAAAATGTAATTAAAAATCTCTCAACATTGACCCTATTTCATCATCATTTTATTATTTTAACAAAAAATTACTTTAATTGATATTTCAGCAATTTTTCTTTAACAGGTTTCTAATTATATTCAGTAAATTTCATGATAATCAATATTTCAAATATTTTTTAATTATTTTTCAACAGTATACTTTAACTTTTCTTATATTTCACAGTATTATAATGTATTTTATAAAGAAAATTATCATTTTCATATATATTCAATAATTTTTCAATAACCTTCCTTTCACTTTTCATCGATTTTATAATAAATACTTTCATAAAAATATTTCCATCAAAGTTCATAAAAAATTTACAAATTAATATTCACAGTACTTTTTACATCTTGGTTTACCATATTGGATCCATCATTTTTAATTTTGTTATTCTGACTTTGAATTTGTGTTCAGCAACTCAAATATTCATAAAAACAAATCAATATTAAAGTATTATATAACTGCTTTTTGCATTTTGGTCCGCTATATTGAATCAGCTATTTTTTATTTTGTGTATCTGACCTCGGATTCGTGATTATCAGTCCGAAAAATAATTAAATGCAGTTTTTGGCAACAATCTAATTTAACTTCGAATTATAGCCACTTTTCTCCACTTCCTAGCCTATTGTGCGTTAGTGAACATATCCCTTTTCGACATACATTATCCCATGTACACATAATCAACTGGGTAAGTATGTCACTCTCGTAGTCGCACAATCGAGACTGACCAATGAACAAAATTCCACATGTCGCCGATCACCAATCTGCTCAGCATCCTTCATTTTGCGAAATATCGGTTGAAAGATACCGGTGAAAAGAGAGACTTCGAGTGCATTTTTCTCTTTTCAAAGCAGAGAACGCTCGCCTTGCACACTTTTTCGGCAGTCGACGAGCTCGATTAAAATACCTAACCGATAGGAAGATAGATCGATGATAGATAGATAGATAGATAGATAGATAGATATCTCTCTCTCTCTCTCTCTCGTGATAACGTGGCGCGCGGAAAGAAATCGAGAATAAATATTTATTTAACGATAGCGCACGATTAACGCGCGCACATAATTCGTTACGAGTACACACTACGTTGTTAGTCGATTTAGAGAAGCAAGGTCGATTCTCGCTTCGTTCGGATCGGCTCGAACGCGTCGCGCATCCCAAAAAGACCATCAGCCAGGCGAGATAAACGTCCAGCCAGCTTGTACCCGTAAATCAAAGACGCCCCCAGCCCCGCTCTTCTCACATCCGTCTGGAGAATACTCAGGAGAGGCCGCGCATCTCGCGCCTTGAAATATCGGAAAACGCGAGGACGAGTCTCGGTCTTGACCCTCGACTGGCGATCAGCGAAATAAAATTTCATTCATTGGACAATTTGCCCTTTCTCTTTCTCTCCTGACGAAGTCCGCATTGTAAATGATTAAACATTCTGAAAGCGTGCTTTTCATCGAAGAATAAAATCTAGACGTATCTACATATCATTCGAAGATTGGAAGCGATTGCACAAACCGACTGAAAAGTGCGCGAAAGCGACGCGCCGGTCTTTACCCGTCGGTCGAACAATTGAGATATTAGTTCTTGAATTGTCGCGCTCGCGAAGCAAACTTGTAGATCTCTCATGCTTTCGCGTGGGGCGCGATACAATTGGTCGAGTTTACCGGTGAGACGATCTAGCAACGCGTGTGGAAGTCATTCACCCTAAGGACTGAATAAGTCTCCCTATAGTAATTAAGTAATTAACTGAGAATGCATATCTTACGTGTGTATATGTGTGTGTATGTGTAATATATCTCTCTGCGTAAATTGTTAGTTAAACTGAACTCGCACACCTCTTGTCGTTCGATTGATACAAACAATAACAAAACTTTATTTGCCACAATTAATATTATCTAACCATGATAAATTATGTACACCGTTGATTAACAGAATGTGTGTGGTATACAATAAATAATTTGCTGCTCCTTTTTTATGCCAACAAGATGTAGAACGCAAATTCAATTTACATTGACGAAATTTCACATTACGCAGGAAATACATGCAAACTCGCGCTCTTTTTTCCTTTCTCCCTCTCCCCATCACACTCACACTTACTCTCTCCGTGTTAAATGTGACTGTGTATATGAAAACATACATGTGTGTATATAACGTAATTCTAATTTATTTTCATCCATAAACTTATATTCTCAAGGGTATAACTATTTTTACCAAAACCACATTCTAGTTTATCGATGAACAAAGCCGCGCATCAGCATTAATAATGCTGTGTATATTAATGCTTAATAAATCAATGCTTTGTAATGTGAAAAAGTACGCTGTGTACGGAAGTATGCAAATACCTGCGTGTTTTGTACCCATCGTACTTCCTCGTAATTGTAACATAATTTTAGATAACATTAAAATCTACAACAAAGGTTTTGTATGCTTATTACTTTCATACATGTAAAACAAACCACGTTAAGGACATATACGTTACACCAGTTCCCCCGATATTGGTTAGATATAGCGATTAAAACTTTTGCATGAAATGTACAATTTGTTTCCTTCTAGGTGGCCCTTTGCATTAACCTCAATGTAGGTGAGGGATTGCGATATCTCGTCGATACACCGTTTATGATAATTACATCATACTGGTACTGGTAATTGTATTAAAAATATAACATAAATATGTAACTATATATGTAGCATACATTTTATCTGACGATAAACGTTTCATTCCAGAGTATGTTTTTGTAGAATTCTTTATGCCACGGGCGCGCGACGTGACAATCTCAGTATTTCCTGTAATAGTTTTCTTTTTAATCACAAAATGACGGAATTACGTGAACGCGACAAGATAGATACTCCTTAAAACTAAATTCCAAATGCATGTCAGAAATGAACTGCTGAACATACGCATAAGCACGATGCAGCGTGTGCCATGCGTGTGCACAGCAGGATCTACAATAATCAATTCAACGAGAAACATCACTACAATAGAATATGCTATATTGTTACTTGCCACTGATTCAGCTTAGCATTCTGTAGAAAATCTTTTGTACACATGTAAAAACATATATATATTAAAAAACGTGAATGTCCACTCTGATTGGAAGTCGGACGCTCAAATAAAGTCCTTTTGCATGTAATCACCCAGCTTCGAATGCTCTTTATGTACTTCAAACTTGATTAAAAGCCAGTGTTTCGCTTCTCATTCGATCATCGTTATGAAGTAATAAAATAGTCGGCCGAACGCGTCCAGAAATATATTCATGAGCGATAATTTGAAAAATTTCCATAACAACAGTGTGTGCGTGGTGTGCTTCCAAAACGGTTGCGCCTTCGATGTACGATCACGTGGTCAATCGCTCTTGGTCTTTCCCTCAGTCTCACTACGATCCGTCTTTGCCTCGGCTTCGTAATTCTCCGATTTCGTTTCAGTCTCCTGCTGGCTGCCCTCATCCTCCTCGTCCGAGTAATTTGTGGGTGCCTCGCCCGGCTTCAACAACTTCCCAACATAATCGTACCTCTCTGTAGTAAAAAAAAAAAAAAAAACAAAAACCAGATCAGGATAAAATTTTTCTTACGAAATTCGAACAGTATACAACTCTTTAATCTTTGGCGATTTCGAGACTGCTCGGAATGGCACTCATTTAAACAAAGGTCATGTCCCGATATTTAACGTTGTATCGTATTGTAATTTTATGCTGTGTCATAGTTATAGCTTTGAAGCAATGCATTAATGCTTAATGCATTTCATCTAGGAATCTAAACCTTGATCTCATTCAGTTATTTATCACATTTAAAGTTTTTGTAATAAAAGCTTAATAGACTATACTTTCTCAACCGAATGAAAATATGAAAAATATATCACGTTCAAATTTATATTCAATATATCAATACTCATTATTAAAAATATAACGTTTCATCTACTTTATTATATGCCAACAAAGTTCTTACTGTACAAATAAATATTATATCTTAGAAAAATATCGTCTTGATATGTATGTCGCGTTGCACAATATAATCGTAATTACTTCCTTATCTATCCCGTATATTTAAATTACATACTTGTAGATTAGTGTAATGGTACATAAAACATGGCGTCAGAAATACATAAGTAACATGTAGACAATAGGTCTGCTGTTTTTTAAAAAACTTCGTGAACTGGTGTATACTGGTGGTGCAGTATGTTAAAGTGAAAAAATATAGTTAGTTTCATTGTAATTTATTACACCAGTGTACGTCAGTTTTGGAAGTTCTTCGAAAAAGAACAAACAATGTAGAATGTATAGCTAAAACAAATCTGGTTTTCTCCATTTTCTGCAGATTTGTTTTTATTTTTTCGCGAAAAAATGAAAAAAAAAACTTTCCCGAGCCTTTAAAAATACAGTGAAGTATCAGATAAACATATCTGCTTAACCGAGTCCAGATGTCACTAATATATTGCATCATTAATATATGTCATTAATATATTGCTTTCGCAATTGAGAGAATTTTCATAGCCAATTCGTATGTATTCGCTTACCCTTAAATTGTTCTTCCCATTCCTTGACTGAATTCATTTCTGCAGTGTTCAAGTCACTCAAATCGTCATATTTATCTGTCGCTGCATCTACTGCAAACCTTGCTAATGCTCTGCTAGCATCTCGACCACCAAATGCTTCGTATGGTCCACCTGTACAAACAAATTACACTGCAATAGTATGACATTCCTAACGAACATAGATGCAACTTACAGGTAGATAAATCAAAGCAATTTGAAGGATACTACTTAAGCTCGCAACACTGGAATATCATTAAATAATCAATATTAATCAGTATGCGCCGCTGAACGATCGTCTATTTACATATGATTTATTCATTCCGCTTGAACGATTTGTCGTTTAGATAAAAACAATTTGACAATCATCGACGTTCGGGCGGCGTGCCCACCCAATAGGTTGTTCACTGTGAACTTTCTTTTTTCGTCACTCACTTACGCGATAAGCCGCTATCGTCGCCGACTCCGCATTACGACGCAGACGGCACAATTGGCCATGACGATCGTGCGACTTTCACGATTTTATTTTTGCGCGTGGCGTGATATCATCGCGCGGACCGCTCCTTCGGGTCGCGAGCTAATAAAGAGCGACTAATAAAACGTGACCCGTAGGGAACAGGAAAGAGTGCGAGGGAGAAAAGAGAGAGAGAAAGAAAGAAAGAGAGAGAGAGAGAGAGAGAGTCGTGCCGCCTCGCAGAAATATCGTCCCGATCTGCGAGCGTTACCATAAGAGATCGGTGGCGATGAGTGAGAATTGATCGTCGACGCAGGGTAAAACTCACCAGGGCCGTAGAACTTGGAGCCTCTGGTTACGTCGTATACGCTGCCGTTGACGGCAACCAGTATCCGGCCGTCGGGGCCTTTACCGTCGTACTTGGTCAGTTCCTCGATTGTGAAGTCACGTCGCAACTTCGGCAGCTTCTTCACCTCCGGCACGGGCTCCTCGGTTCTCGTTTTACTCTTGACGATCTTGTAGACCAGGACGGCGATTACAGCCACGAGCGCGAGATTCAATGGGCTCCTTACGATCTCGGAGATAAAGCTCGACAGGTATTGCTGTTGCTGGCTATCCTGGGCCTGGTTAGCGGCCGGATCTGGCGAGCCGCTGTTCTCGGCCATTTTGACGAACCAACCGACCGATCCAGCAGGCGAGAATCGAGGGAAACGGGAGAGAGAGAGAGAGAAGATAGGTTACGCGAATGCGATATCGTGCGAACGAACGGTAATTCGAGTGACCGCGTTCTTCTTTCCTTCCTTCCTGCTTGTCTCCTTCCTCGCGGGCTACGCGCGCGCTTACGTGCCAACGGGTGTCCAGAGGTGAACCGGAACGACTCGCCGGGAGGCGCGGATTAATATTGCCGAGCAAGGCGCCGCCGCTCTCGTCAGCACGACTCGTGCGCGCTAGTAACGATGATCGAACCACACTACCAACCGATGTGTACCGGTGCGCCGCGGCGCACCAACCGCACGTCCGAACGTAGGCGCGTATGCGTACGTGTGGCGCAACACAACGACAGAATCGCATCGCCGTTACATACGTGGCCGCATCGCCGAGGCGCGTCTCAGGGCTGTGCCAAGTGGGCGCCAGATATTGGCGACTGTCGCTCCGTTAGATCCTATCTTAAATCGCGTTAGAGGCATCGGACGAGAAATGAGATCGGAGGGACTCTTTTCTGCGACAGGCAAGACGTCCCGAAGTGTCGACCAAGTGCGACAAATGTCACTAGGAATCCGTGGCGTTCCCGACTTAGGCAGGCGCGAAACGAATCTTCGCGCCAACTTGATATAACGACAGCTTCATTATGATTTCCTGCTATTGTGCGACGTATGCGTTAGTAACAAGCCCTCCGAGACTCCCGAAGATTAATATTTATACAGGAAACTAGGACTTTGAATACCACGATAGGCGGTGCCTCCGAGATAGCGTTTCTCTCTTTTCCTCTCCGCCTCCTTCTCTCTCCCTCTCTCTTTCTCTTTTTTGCATATAAATGCGTATGCATTAGTTTAAATAATTATTGTCGGTTTACTTGTTATATAGCATGAATGATTTTTATCGCCTTTTCCGACCAAATTACTAATGACATTAGAAACTTTTGATATTACTGATAATTATTACACTGAATTATAGTTAGAAATTGCTGTTGGCGATTCGACCGGTTACTCATTGATTAGTTTAGTCGAAATTGGTGGATATCACTTTTATGCGCTTTATCGATTATGTTGGAATTAAATTTGTTGCAATTTGAACAAAGTAGAGATGGCTAAGACCTATATGCATTTATAATTTGTCGCATTAATTATTCTATACGTCTCGAACGTACCGTTTCACACACGTACGTTTCACACTTTTTACTTCCCTTTCTCTCTGTTTGCCGTTCTCTCTCTTTCTCCCTCTTCAGCGGGATACAGTTATTTCATGAAAAATGGAACAATCGTCTTTCGTGTAAAACTTGGGTTTGCAATTTGATGAGAAAATAATAAAAAGAGAATTGAAAGTGAGAATATCGACGTGTTCTATTCCAGGGCTTTCTTATATATTATATATCTATCTGATGGAATTCACGATAAATACGCATCATTATACGCATCGATTCTTCAAAGTCATGCTAAGCTGTCACGTGTCATTCAGATATATATATATATATTCTGTCGCATTTGAATACAAGAGTTGCTGAGAGCTTGAAGGTTAGGCACGGCATAATTATGCCAGTCATGAGACCGTGTTATGATCGTGGATTTTTTTGCTTCCAGCACACATTTTTTCTGCACAGTACGCAGTACGATTACGCTAACGATTACGAAAGCTATATGCTGAAGTTGGCTACTCGGTCACAAAGATAACGAGGAATTTCGTTGCAACCATTACATTTCATTTATTAGTGTTTAGCTGACTTTTTTTACATTCGCTGGTCAAAATTGCTATAATTATTACGAAAAGCAAAATATGTATGTGAATTTACAGTTGTGAAAGACTCCTGGATGCTACGCTCATACTGACGGCCAAAATTGTAGAACAAATCCATGCTGCAATTTGATGGCAATTCGGTAACAGGAATTAATCGATATTTTTCCCTTTGCAGTATTCCGCCTTGATTTTGGTGATTTGTTATTATTAATATGTCGTCGTCAGTAGTAGCAACGATTTATGTATTCGCTATTGAATTGCCGCCGAAATAGCTACGGGATTGGTGAAATCGTGTGTTCGACACGATTCGAAATTACAATTAGACATGATTCTATCGATACGTCATGCGAGACTTCGCAGCTGTCCGCGAGCTCTCAAAAAAATTTTCAAGTATCATATCCGAATTGAATCGTTTTATTTTGTGTTTATAGTAATATCTACAGTAAAGCATGGCCCGTAAAGCAAATAACATAACTGATTCTTTATACATATATGTGTGTATGTATGTATGGTATGTATATATGTGTGTGTGCGTGTGGTGATATAATGAGATTATATACCTCTAGTCATCTTGTACTCAAATAAATTGTACTCATAATGGACGGCACCGTTTGCATTGAGAATACTGTCGCTTCAATTTTCGACTTGATCGAAACATTCCACTAATTATCACTATTACTTGAAACTATTTCATAACTTTTCATATTTATCATCGTATTACTTATCTAAGGCACACAATTAAACAAGGCACATTTCATTTGTGCAATAAAAATGCAGATATCTATACAGCTTAGCGTTTCCTAGTTTGTGTACGTCAAACTATGAATTCGTCTTTTGTACATTGACAAATTTACTCTATATCTAAAATATATGTAAAAATTATGCCTTTATGATGGCCTTTTCTTCCTGAAAATTGAGATACGGGTGAATATCAGTGATAGATGATACAGCTTCTGGCCCGACTCTCTCTGAGCACATTGGACAAGTTTCTTCAGATTCAACGATCCTGTATAAAAAATTATACAATAAATATACATGATAATTTTATAACATGCATTATATAATGCATTATTTACCTTAGAAATTCACTTTTAATAGCAGGGAAATCACATTGGGGACACGCTGTAAAGTCATCTTCTATGATATGTCGTCCCTATAAAGGAACCGTAGAACAATAGAAGTGAGAGAATCCCGTACTTCTCTTTTTCCTCAACACCTTAACGCGCAAGCCCGAGTTAACTCGGATAGCACTTTATATTATGGACGCACCCGTAGTTAATTTGGGCATGAAAAATAATTACGCTAATGATATAATACAACATTGAACAGCTATTTTAGCATTTTTCTAGTCGTAGAAAAACCGTTAAGGGGTCAATTTCTAAATGTCAATAAAGAAAGTTTTACCGTCGCGATACAGAAAGGTATGGTATTCTTGCATTTATCACAGGTTACTTCAGTCTCGGGAACTCTGCTCTTGCAGTATGGGCACGGGGTGAGAGGCTCATCTTCGTTCTCGACATCCTTCGCTCGTGGTGGCTTTCTCACGATTGCTTCAATCTTTTTGCTGTATTTCGCGTCGACTTGCCCACGATACTCGGGACGCATCAGCATAGCGGCGAAGTTGAAAGCCGCACTCTTCAAACCCGCCCTATGGCATTCTATTACAGTCGAGGTTAATATTGGTACGATATCTGAAATACAATTTTATTTCTGAAATAAAAGTTATTTTTTATTTACATACATACATACATACATACATACATACATACATACATACATACATGCATACATACATGCATACATACATGCATACACACACAGTGTTATATATTAATTGTCATGGAAAATTTTGTCCTACTAACGCGATGGAAACTTTGATATGTTGTTCGCTACTCTTATCAGCATCCGGGCGCCTCGCAAGTGGTCGCTTCTTTTCACATGCAACCTTACCAGGATGTATGAATGTAAGAGCCTTAAATTAGTTTGCATTTCTAACGGTATGGTAATCTTATTTCTTTTTAGCTCTTGATACATTCCGAATAATACGTCGTGAGCGTTCCTGTAATTTCCTGAAACAAAAAATTGTAATTATCAGTGTTACTAATGTATTACGAATGTATTTATACATAATTAGGGTGCATACCATTAATTTGTTCTTCATTCGCAATGATAATTGCAGTTTTAGCTGCCTCTTTATACTGTTTTCTAGCCATGTACAAGCGGAAAAGATATTTCGGATCCTAACGGGATATAAAACGTATTAAAACTTTACAAACGAGCTGTGCAAGTTAAATCTGACATATCCGTTTTGATTTTTATTTAGGAAAAACACTGTTCAGGCGTTCGGACGCGCGATATTAGTATCCGGGAAGCACTAATAAACGAAACAATGGTAACCTTTGGTAATCCATCCCCTCCTAACAAGAAATCTATCAATTGATTGGCTAATTTGTCATCCTTAGAAGACGCGACAGCGTCTATAGCATAAGTGATCGCTCTGTCGTCGTTCGGCACCAATTGAGCGGCTTTTAATAGATGCCGCAGAGCCTTAAAAAAAAGATGTTAATTGAAATATTCGCGTTTACATATAATGGGAGAGAAGGTGGCGCAGAAATTTAGAGATGTGAACTTACTTTCTGATACTCTTTGGCATGGAAATGATATTTCCCAGCTAAAAGATTGTTCTTCTGGGATTCGAAGTGCATCGCAAGACTCTTAAAATCTTCCTTACGAACGTTCGTGTCTTCGATCGTGTTCACCAAGATCTCTCCGTACAATTCCATCTTGCCGTGCTGATTAGCCAATTGAAAGGCTTCGTCGTGACAATTCGACAGGATTAAGAATTTAATCGCTGCATTGTAATCGTTCATCCTTTGGAAATACTTCGCAACCATCTTCGCGCCTTCTATGCTCTTTGTTTGCTGGACAACTTCAACACTACGAGCTGTAACGATGTATAATAAGAGGCGAATATATTAATAAAATGTATTATTAAATATATTATTAAAATCGCTAATACGTTTGTGCCGTGGTAAATCCTTGCATGTAACGAGTGCATTTACCAGGATTGTTTAAGTGTTCCAGGTTGATTCTGATTATATTATCATAATCCTTAGCGGTTTCATATGCTTTCGCGGCCTCCTCGTATTTACCCTCGGACTCTTTGGCCTTAGCATATTGTATGTTGATTTTCGCGGACGATATTTGTGGCAGAAGCTGACCCACTTTGTGCCAATTCTTTAACTTTATATAAGCGGAGGCAGCTTTGTCGAAGTATTCAGCTTTTTCATACAACAGCGCGGCTTCGCTAAATTGCTAAAAGTATCGATATATTTTAACAGTTTACTGGAAATATGAGGCCTGTTCTTTTCAGCTAAATTAGTGTATTGGAACTTCGTTCCCTTTCCTTTCAACGCTAGATCACACCGTTGTTTCATTTTAAAGGCAAAAAGTGCTAAAAGCTAAAAACCGACTTATAACCAATTTCTTACGAGTCTTAATGACGATGATCATACCTTCATCGATTCCAGAATTTCGGCGCATTCTTTTCGCAACAGCCTCGAGCTCTCGTTATCCATCGCTATTCCGACGCCTTTTCTACTATCGCCGCATCTTATAGACATCCTCGCTATTCCTGCCAGGCATTGGTTTCGGTGATGAGGATTTTGCGTTACCAAGATGGACGAGGTATTATAATCGACCAAGCCGCGTTCATAATTTGTTAGAGCCTTTGGATAATTCCCACTGTATAAAAAAAAAAGTATATTTCACTTATTTATTTAATAGCAACTATCGATTATGTTTTCTCTGCAATAGATTATTATTTAATAAGACCAATTAAGAGCTTACGTGAATTCTAATTGTTGGGCATATTCTCTGGCGATAAAAGGAATTTCATCGGGCTTCAACTTTTGCGCCAAGCTTAACGCTTGCTCCCACTGCATCAGGTCTCTCCTCAAGTACAAGGCCTGCACGGGTTCAGAAGATTGTAGGAAGTACTTTTCAGCTTCATTATAATCTCCTAGTAATATGCAAGCATGGCCACATAGCAACGCCAGTTCGTCCACATTCTCCATATTTTGCAACGTCCATACCATTGAAGCATCTTCGATTTGTCGATATACGCGAATAGCTGTGTATAATAAATTACGAAGACGTTATAATTCTCAATTATACTTTCAACCTTCGTCGCGTTTATATTTTCCAATACATTTCGCTCACCGAATTCGATGTTCAAATTCGCAATAGCGCTTCGTCCCAGTTTTAGCCAGGCATCTTTCTCGTTTAATTTTTCACAGCTATTCCACGCTTGTTGAAAACTAAATTGTATGAAAATGTGCTTTTAGATTCTTCTATACGTGATTGCTTGACGTGTGCTAAATTATAAAAGTCTCACCGTCTGCACAAAATCTGATTGTTCAGAATCTCGTTAATTTTTTTGGACTCCACGATATTCCCTATATCTTCATGAGAAGTTAATGTTATCTGTATCAATTTGCTACCCATTGTGCTCAACGTCACCTCTCCCGAGTACATCAATAAAGGCACTGATTCTGATGGCAACTTAGTCGTATTTATCTTTATCACTTTGGTACCTGTCCGTGCAATCGTTAACGAGTTAGATTTCACGGCGATAACATGTGACAAATTGATTCAGCCACTCACCTTCCACAAAGTATTTTACAAAAATGTACGTCACAATATTGCTTTTATTATATACTGCAAATATAGCACGTTCGAATATGTTCTGATCCCAAAGAATACCATCGATATTATCAGGACAGTCAGGCACTGTAATGGCCGCTTCGTTTATCGGATCAAATACGTAAACGTCCGACTTGTTATCGACAAAACACAACTGCGTTCCGTTCGTATCCAAGTACAACTCCTTGATTCCGTTGTCATGTATAAATTCGGTGCATTGATTGAATGTCTCCAAGTAAAAGTAAACGATATGACCCATCTAACAATGTTAGAAACTCATGTTAATTATTCGAATACAGCGTAAGGATGATCTCAAAGCATGCCCGATGTTAACTTACATCATTACCGTAAACCAGGAAATCCGAACAAATAGCGTGACATGTAATTCTACTATGAGTAGAGCTCGAATCCGGAAACATTTTTGTATCTTTCCCATCGTTTGCCAACGTCTGGTCGGATTTAATCTATGTGTATGAAGTGAAATTAATACACCTGTTTTACATTATTCCCATTGTTAATTCGAGCCTCGTGATGATAATTACCGTATGCAGTTGTAATTTCCCGTCGAACAGCGCCGATACGTATGTTTCGTTCAGGCGCATGCTGTCTATCGTGGCCAAATAATCCCTCTCAAAATGCATCTTGTTATAATGGCTTATCGACAAATCCCAGAAGAGTGCTCTATTGTTCAACCCTACTGCCACATGCATCGGGCCTACTGCTAAGATCGACGGTTCTATTATAGTGTTGATTATTTGCGGGCTCGGTTTGTCCTAGAAGAATGATTCCTCGTGAAAGAGAAGTCCACTGTGCGATCTCGTATGACCAGAAGTACCTTGTCTAATGTGTAAAGGTGCACGGCTACTTCCATCAGGCTCGTCAACAATGCTATCCTGTTGCCGCAAACGCTGGTCAACTTCGGAATCTCTATCAAGTAGATCAAGATATTGCCGATATAAGTGACCGCTGCCAGCATCGTTCCATCCGTTGACCATTCGATGTTGTTCACTCCATTCTCGCTGGTCACCGAGATCAGCGTCTCGGTCTCCTCTAGATTCAGCAAGTTGTGCACCTTGATCGTGCTGTCGCCGCAAGTGGCCAACTTCCCTACCGCTTGACTCAATGCGATATCCGTTAGAGAATCCCTGTGGTTCTTAATTTGGAATAATTCTTGGCCGACTTCTTTTATATGCGTCGATATCGCAATAAAAAACCCAGCTTCGAAACCTATTAATATGTAACCATCTCCGTACCTACAAAGTAGCGATATATATGCATTATTATCAAAATCGTGCGATAATAGGAATTGTACTGCTATTACATTTATTACTTGCCATCTATAAGTTACAATGGAACCATAACGTTTTTGAAAAGCCAATTCAATGGGATTTTCCGGATCCAGAATATTGCACAAGAATAATGTTGTCTTGCTAACAATAAGGGATACCTAAGTTTGTAGGTAAGAAAGGAAATGTAGTTTTGTATGGATAATTTTTAAATATTATCAATAATGCATATTGATAAGATCTTACTGTATTTTCACCAGCTATCCTATGGTCCATTTTCATTTCGCTAAATTGTATATGAGACGGATCACCTTGAAAAGTTATTTCACGACGCGTATCTCCCTCAGTTGTGCTGATAGTTAGGACTTTATCTTCACTCGCCAAAGCAAGGAGACCATCTACTGACCATGCGCCGCATACAATGCGCTTCTTATGCTTTCCCAAAATAGGTATTCGTCTGTATTTCACAATATAGAACATTTATGAATAATGAAATTTACAACAGTATTCTCTACGGCTGTATTCCAAAATTCACTATCAGCACTAAAAATCCATAGTTTATATTATGTATACTGTAGATTTTCAGTATTGACAGTGAATATTGGAACACAGCTTTTATATCTAAGATTTACTCTAAAGAAACATCAAATTTTACTTGGCATTTATGTGATCATAAAGTACTAAATTTCCTTTTTGTGTCCCTATTGCTAATAAGCAACTCTTCTTTGCCCACATCATACAGCTCAATCCATCTCTTACACCTGCGTCTATCTGGGACTTTTTTCCAGTTGTTGCATCCCACAAAAATATAGATGATGAATTTTGCGCTATTATTGCCAGCATATCTCCATCTGAATCCCAACCAAAGCCGGTGCATAGTCCAGGAATTGGTATTCGTTCCTGGATATCACCTTGTCTATCAAAAATGGCAACTGTTGAATCACAACCTGTAGTAGCTAAATGAGTGCTATTTCCAGGACGCCAAGCAATATAGATACTGCCAGAGCCATGAGGCTGGTCTAGGCGATAAAGAACCTATCAGAAAATTAATTTAAATAAACATCTGTTTATAATAGAGCAAAACTTTCAGGGTGATAAACCAGAGCGAAACGAAGATATAGATTTATTGATCAAAACAAAAGACATTGTCTCCCTTTAATGTAATTAACATTAAAGTTTTTATTAATCAATTTCACATGAAGTAAAGCTGTCAATGTCACATAACCTACCTTCTCCGACGACATGGCGATGAGGGAAATTCGGTTCTGAGAGGAAAATTGGTCAGCCCGCACATTTAAATACCATGTCTATATAGTATTACAAGACATAGCTTAAATATTGATTTATTAAGCAGTCCCGTTTTCTTACACCGATGTACATCGGCCATATTGTTTACGTTTCCGTTGCTCCATGCGATGGATGGACAACAAGTGTGTTCATTTTAACTACGTTTTTTCATACCTTCACTGAAAAACAGAAAGCAGAAAAGCAGCAACCAATCAGAACTCGCGCTGGCAATCAACAGTTTTTGTTTTATCTACTGCTCACTACCAACACGAGTTTTAATTGGCTGTTGATTTTTGTTTTCTGCTTTTCTGTAAAGTGTGAATTTTCCTTAAGGCTGCCTCCTCCTAACTTGCGTGAAGCTTGATCAGCCAATCAAATCATCTCAATTATCATACGCAACCCGCTTAGTTAGTTCACGCATTTTATGCTATTACCGATACGCCAAATTCAATAGTCGCGTAAACTGGTAACGCATATGTTTAGTGACGTGTGTGTATTTGCAGACAATCACAGTTTTCGATTTTTATTGGGAGTGTGAATAAGTTCTCGCCGTTTTTTGTGAAAACAAATCCTTTATTTAAAAAAAATAATAAAAAAACAAGTCAATTAAAGTATTGCCCATCGCTGGAGACTACTTTTTCCCATCTTTCTGGCAGCATTAGAATTCCACGTCGAAAAAACGACACTTCTTTTGCGGCTATCCACGAATCGATCCATTTTTTCGTTTCTTCATGCAAAGTGAAGTGCTGCTCAGCCAGGCCGTTATGCATGACGCATAAGGAAATGAACCAATCAGAATCCTTTGACCCCTCTGAATTCCTGACGCTCACATTTGACTGTGATTGATCAATTTCTTAAGGTTTAGAGCTGACATTCTCATTGTAAACCTTACTTTAATTTGAATTTACAATAGATGTAATAAGCTTCAAGTCGTAAGAAATACGATAATGAATTTTAAAGAAGGAACTATCTCTTTAAATTTTCTATTGAGTTTAATGAACGTCATACACTGATCTGTTTTGTAAATGATTAAAGTTGACAAGACAGTATTCCTCGTTGAATAACTTTGTAAGACAAAGTCAAATCGCAACTTGCGCATACACTAATTAAAGAAATAAAATTGTATTTTTAGCTTATGTGTGCGTTATTTATGTGGTTGTTAATTTCTGCAATGTAATTTCATAAACTTCATAAACATGTTTTTACATTCAACGAATCTTGATTCCTATTTACATAACATTATAAGAAATAAATCAACTTTATATTGGAAAATAATATAAAAAATGAGAAACTCAGAATTGTAAAATTCAAAAAATTTTCAGAACATGTCATTATTATTTTTTGTAGAAAATATAACCTATTAAATTTTTCCTATTTTTTTCTTGACTAAAAGGAAAATAATCTTGTAATTTATATGTATGTACAATATACTTATAAGTTTTTATTAAGATTTAAGATCATATAGATTTAGTTTCATCATTAAATACTATTGCATTGCAAAAAGTAACTGTAGTGATTAATATCTTTTCTGCTATAAAAAATGTTTTCTTTTTACTCTTGCATTATATGCAGAAAGTTAAAAATGCATTTTTTCCCTTTTTTATGCTTAAATCAGCTGTAAAAAGAGCTATATTACAATCGTCAGCTGTTATCAGCTGTCAAAAGTCTCTCGAAGACTGTGAAACGTGCGGAGTGTGTGCTTTTGCTAAGGAATTTACCCTTGAATTTATATTGTGACTGAAGTAATGTATTACGATTATTTTTGTAAATTAAATGTGTATTTAGTTAGTGATGTACGTGAATGTATCGGGCACATTTAGCTACATAAAATAATAATAAGAAGTGCTATCAGAGTTATCACCGGCGTTATGACCGTTGTTATTGTCGAAATATCTATTATCTGCGAACCGGTATGGCAATTTTGACTTTTTGAAACGTTAGCTCGTTATTATGTTCGCTTGCAAAGTTATAAACTCATCGTAATTGCGATGCATCACATTTACTGAAACTTAACCTATATATCTTGGTTATTATTAATAATTTGTTATCATATTGTTTTTCTTGTTTCAGCATTTGTAGGATAACAATACAAAGCAAGTGAATATGGACGACGAGACGTTGAACAGGTAGTTTTACGATTTTGTGTTGTTTGGGTTCGTAATAATGATTAGTAATTACTGTCGTGCTAGCCTAGATATATATGAGAAATTTTCATTGAATATTAGATTACATTTATTTTATATATATATATAATAAATATATATATAGATTTATATTCTGAATTCACGCTTATCGATAAAAGTATCTCTAAAAGTGTATAGGAACCACCTAATTGGTTGTGAAGTCACATTTAATTCACTTTTATCGATAAAAATGAGGTCAGAATATGGACCATAGACCAAGAGATTTAATAGATTGATTGTTTTTATCACCATTCCACATGAAATAATATTGATATAATAATATTGATTGACTTATGAAACATTTTCCTAATATAAATATAGATTACATTTTTTACAATACCTCTTGCTGCAATATTCTGCTATTTTTCTCTATTAGTGTTTTTATTATTATATAAATTTGTGTGTGCAATTATGTATCATAGGCTTGCAGTTGAAGCTTTATTGGAAGAAGCCAAAATTGGCGCACAAAGGGCAGAAATAATGGGACCTAGCGGATGGGTAAAACCTAAAGAAACTATCAACAAAAGGTTCCTTCATTCAACATTACGAAATGCAGTAATATCAAACAAACATCGATCATTGAAGCAGGAAAAAATAAAAACTCAACCACCATTGAATAAGACGGATACTGTTAAGAAACCATAGGCTGTGACATATATATGTGTATTATTCTTGCGTTTGCCTTGATGTATATTCTAGATATATATATATATATCTCTTAAGAATTTAGAATTTTCTTAGTACACATACACAGGAAATATATACACGCACACAAAAATATATATACATGTTGTTATTGATGTAAACGATCGTAATTTTATTTATTATAGCACACTCATTGTTACAAGATTACATATTTTTGTAAAAATTCGGAGAAAATTTCTATATAAATGTGCCCCAATGAACGTTATAAAATAAATTATAATTCGGTTAACAATATCGTATAAAAATATCTCGAATGCTTTGTGGACATTTTACAATTCTTACTGTTGCCAATATTTAAGTATTTTATACGTACGATACTTCATTCTTGATCGAATAAGTATACTTTATAGACCTTTAAAAAAAGTTGCCCCTTGTAAATTCCTAGCGTAAAAACCGCCTTTATTTACAATGGTTATCAAATTCCTTCTATTAGAAGTAACACACAGTGAAAGTTCATTATACAATTTCATATCTAGTCGTTTACACAACTCTATGAAATGTACAAAGAAGAAATGATGTATACAAAAGATGTTATTTATATATCTATCTTCTTGCATTTTGTCTTGCATTTAATTTAAAACTCAGTAAGGATTAATCGTAACACCACCAGATAATAATAACAAGTTTTAAAAGCACCGTTATCTCTATATGTACCCTTAACAAATATATCATAAAGAATGTAGTCATATAGTTCTAACCTAAGTATAAAATCACTTATAATTAAAACATTTTGCATTGATAGGTTGCACATATCAGTTTATGGCATCGCTTGAAGTTTGTTTGCACGAGAAATTAGACTGATCACATTCACAATTACACACCTGTGTCTCGTCACGTATTACACGAGATTAGTGCAACTTGATGGACATGTATTATCTCGAAAAATCAAAATTTCAGAACACAAAATCATAAAATTTCGAAAACTCCTATAACTTTAATGACTTAAATAAATTTCGGTAACTTGCTTTGAAAGAAAATATATGCAATAAAATATATATATATATTTTTTTTAAATTTTATATTTGGTGTGTATATATATATATATATCTTTTATATATATATATATATATATATATATATATATATATATATATACCACGGATATCAAGATAGGTTTTAGACACTCTGCACATATTCACACGCATGAATCTGAATATCGAAACAATTTCTCGAAACACATTTTTCCGGAGTTATTGAAAATATGCATTTATTCTGAAGAGTTATCATCCCGAAATCAATACGAAACAATAAATAAGGATATAACTTTTTTAATTATAATTTTTCTTCTCGGAGCACAATGCATGTCCACTTACAAGTCAAGATGTCTTCTCATAAATTAATAAGGTGCAGGCGATAGTTATTCATCACTTATGTGTCGATATTCTTGGAGAATTTTTTTATCAGCTTTATGCATAAGTTGCATTACAGATCAATGCGCCCTTATTTGATACTAAAGTAAAATATGAGATGTGGCCTGTATAGTACACAGATGAAATTGTTAAATTGCACCTACATTTGCGGCAGATATTTGAGGATTACAATATGCTTATTATGACGATAAAATTCCTTTTCTTTACGATCCATTTATCTTAAATATCCGTAAGACTTAATTTTGATAACATATTTCTCCGTAAGACTTAATTTTGATAACATATTTCTTCATATATTGCGTGCGTAAAAATTCTTAACAGTTTCTATAATTAATGAGATTTACGAAAGTTAACGGTTTGATTTGATATGTTGTGACAGAATAAGTAGCTTTCACGAAGTATTCTACAATATTATTTTCAATATTCAACTATAACAGATAATATTAGTTGGTGGGAATCAGGTAATTATAATTTTTGTATTTTAATATTCGTAATACCTATTTAAATTAAAAAATTTAATTTAAAATAAAATAAAATTTAAAATAAAAAANCATCTCTGTATAAGTTTCTTCAACCATGTAACATTAATATCAAACTGCTTCACAAATCTGCAATATTGTACAGCAAATAATGAAAATTTGATACTTGTACTTTTATGCACATTTCTGCTGTGCAATATTGATCGCGTATAAATTGTCATTTGAAATATGATTATTTAATAATAAGAAATGCTATTTGATGATGACGTGTATACAACGAATATGAAAATGACTGTAAAATTTTATTTCTACTTGCAATTATTGACGCTGCATTTTGAAAATTTTGGGCCCATTATTTTTCTATCTACCAAAATAAACGTTTATATGAAAAAACTATTGTATTAAATTATATTTTTATGTAAATATATTAAATTATATTTACATTGTTCTCTCAATCTTTTCATACACCAGAAAGAAGTTCCGGAGGCATAAATTCTACTTCACTATATAGGTTATAATTACTCTTTTGCGACTATCGCTGATAACGAATAAATTACGCAGATCCGTTTTTCTGGTGTATTTTCTTCTTCTGTTCTAGCAAGTCTTTCATATCACCAAGTGCTTTTTCTATCTGCTTCGCGAATCTGGCAGCATTCTGTAAATATTCAAGCGTCATGAGTACTTAACAAATTGATAATTGTACATTTAATAAATAAATAGCTCTTCATTATAAATATAAAAATGTGACATATGATAAATATTAAGAAGAAAACGAACATAAATGAACAAGACCAAAACATGTACCAAAACTATACACTTTTATCTGGGTTATCTTACCGTATTCGGCGACGTTTGTTTACTAGAGATATGGAAGAATAGGAGATCTTCTCCCGCAATTATATAAGAAACGCCGTAACCGTCGTCAGCCACAGGACCGAATCCGCCGCCTGCTGAGATGCAATTGGGGTACTTCTTCAGGTCCAGTCTTGCAGTTTGGCCATGTGGAGTCTGCGACGTCGACAGTCTCCACGGCTCGCTTAAAACTTCCTGCAAATGCAAGCGAGCATTGCACAAAACCATTTGCCGGAATCGTCGATGGAACGCGCACGATATATAGTCGTACAATGGAATGGTCAAGTACCTTCAAAAACGGTGAATCTACTTCTAAGTACTTTGATATTACGTATAAGCAGAACAAGTGTCTGTCTATCCCTTTGCCGCACATAGCATCCTGATAGCCTTTCTGATGTTGCGCCACCGCGGTCATCAATAGTCTTATCTTTTCCTCCGCCTATGTCGGGAAGAGAGAATACGTTAAAGATACACAAAGATCCGAGCGGTGGATCTTGGTTTGCCTCGATCTCGATTCATTTTCGTCCATACCGTCATCTTGTTATCCCCCATCGACTTCACCCATTTAGCGGACTCGATAGTGCACGGCCTGACCGTTTCTGTTCTGCCTTCCCGGAATAATCTCGTCATGGAGGCTTCGTAAGTCAAACTAAACTTGGAGGCGTCGCGGTAGTACGCCAATTGCAGAGCCATTTGTATGAAAGCGTCCGGCGATATGGAATGACACTTCATCAGGCCCTTACCGTAAGCATCGTGCACGTAAATCCGCAGCTCCAAGTCGCTCAATAAATTACGCGCTACCTGTTGAATAAACAAGTCGATTTACGTCATCATAATTGTACACACTGTGTTGTATATGCCTTACTATTCCACGGATCGAAAATTACACGATTTTCAGCCTCAGACATTTACATACACACAACGTCGAAACTGTTATAATTAGATCTATTATAAATCTATTATTATAATTAAAATAATTTATTGATTTTCGACCTTAATCGTATGCACGCATAAGCTTGAAAATCGTGTGTCGACTGTCGACCCAGGGAACAGTAAAGTACACAAGAAGCAGTCGTCTTTAAGTGAGAGACGGGATTATAATTACAGTAGACTCCCGTATAATGCAGTTAACACGTTGAATGCCACGTCAGTCACCGGCGACTGACACTGAACTTTCCGTTTAGGCTGCGTCAGTCACCGGTGACTGATAGTATAAAGTACGACATAAAACTTAAAAAATTACATAGTTTAATAAGTAATTTCTGGATCGTATAATTAATATACTTAAATATTTCTTATCAAAAAATTTTAATGGATTTGGCCTGACGGAGATTTCCTCCGAAATGCGCGTGGCAGTTAACGTGTTAATACGTTACGCGCTATATGAATTCGCGTTATAGGAAATCGTGCTGTACGGGAATTTTTCTCGCATAACGCATATAATCTAAAGTAACACGTTTGAAATGATTATTGCTATGCTAACTGAAACATCTTTTATTGTATTTAAATTTAATAAAAATATAACCATACAAATTTATGTATTGTTTTTTTTTAATTTTATAAATACTTTTGAAAAATACCTCTCGTTATCGTTATATTAAGAGTGACCGCGTCAAAAAACAAAACAACGATGAAACAGAAAAAGTCGGCGCGTTGTACGAAGAATCGCGCGAAAATATATGAAAACAGCAGTCGCAACATCTTTGGCGAGTTATAGGAATTTGCGTTGTAAGAACTCGCGTTATACGGGAGTCTACTATATTATATTACCTGGTAGGATTTCTCAATGGCCTCGATACACTCGGCGCTCAGATCCCATTGCAGTCGACTCGGTGCGGGAGGTGTAAACTCCGGAGTGCCTATATTGTGACCGTCTTTATACCTGGATAACATGCATCTACTTTTTAACACGGCCAAAGTACCATAAATCAATAGACTTTCCTACGCTACAGTCACACTTTGTTTAAACTCGGTTTATCCGATTTACGGATAACCCGAGAAAGAAACGAAATATGTTCCACGTACATGCAACAAAACTCTATGCAAATACAGAATATCTTTTAATTGCTCGTATTAATTGCTCGTTAATTGTTTCATTATCAGTCAATTAATTTAGCACTTATTTCGAGTAGATAATCTTCATGACACATTTTCACGATACGCGATTTGACGACCGCGCATGTTAACACAAACATCAAAAAAGATGTTAGCGAGTTTATCATGCGAAAGTATTATGTAAGAGACAAGAAGTATCTTTGTACATACAATAAGGATTACAACTAAAGATTATAATTGATCAAATTGCAATACAGTTGCGCAAAAGGATAAAAATTATGCGTAGGAGTTCTGCGTGGTTAGTGAGATTCGTCACGTTTTGTCTTCCCTATATGTAACAATGCAAAAGATTACCCAATCTCGTTATCAGTAGCCATAATTAATTCCCACAGAGTTCCCATCACCGGTGCATCAGCCCTAGCAAGCACATCAGAAAGAAACGTTACAGTGCGAGAAGAAACAGGAGGAACACTCATAGGTAAGAAATACTCAAGAGAGGAGCGATAACCTCCAGGAATTAGATTTAGGAGATCGAAACATAGGCATAGCACCAACATCCCATAGACCTTCAGAGATAACTTTGTTGCAAGAGCACTGGGTGGTTCGAAAGATTTACTCGGGGGAAACAACACTTATGCATTACAATCTAAATTAACTTCAGACAGAAGTTCTTGACGCACAATGAGTAGATAGTACAAGTTATCTTATGGAAACAGAAGAGAGATAAATATGCAAGATATATAGACGATATATAGTTTATAAATTGTGATTCTTACTTTTCACTGACGAACTCCGAGCTTATCACGTGCTCCCACAAATGTGACATGATCGCAGCATCTGCCCTGCTCATTACTTATCATTATATGTGGTGTTTTATTTTACACGTATCATTATATGCAATGGAATAAACTTGCGTTTTATACATGACTCAAAATGTTGGTCTGATTATAATATTCGCTCTATGTTTATCTCTGTGTGAAGTAGGGGGGGGGGACATATGTATCGGGTAACTGAAAAAGTTCGTTCGCTTTTTTATATGATAGAAGTTAAACTACAAAAAAAAAAGAGTACGCATCAAGTTAGAGCGCACCGATTGGCTGACGTGTATCTGTGCCTTATGACGCATATAAGACATCGAGCTCTGTAAACCACTGTAAAATAAAACAAGTCATTGCAGCGAACTCTACTGAAAACTGCACGAACTTTTTTGGTTACCTGATGTATGCACGGAACACATTTCGATAATAACGATAAAACGAAAAATTTTGATAAAAAAATAAACGATCTGTCTCTCAACATTTTGCATTGCGGCCAAGACATACTCACCAGGAATGTTCTGCATTGAAACCGATCTGTAAAGAGAGATCATTTTTGTGAACAAAAATAACGAGACTAATATCAACTAGTTCTGGCACACGACTGCAGATATATTTATTACTCACCCTTCCGTTGTTACCAACGCACAGAGTGAAAGATTTATCAAACCACCGATCGTATCCTTTTCCATGTAATAGAATCTTACCATAATTGTCTAACTTCTCTGGATGCTTCTAAAATACGAAATTACAATACAGTTCCATCATTTTGTGAATTATTTCCATTTCTTCCATTCACAACATATATATATATATATATTGTACTGAATAACGTACTGGATCGTATTCGTAAGGGACATCATCCAAAGTGACTGTAAACGCAGCCTTCTCGATTAAGTCCAAGGCAATTTTATTTACACCTTTTCCGAAGAACTTCTGCCTAGCCTGTGCCCAGGCGGCTCTATCACCAGCTGTCAGAGCAGCTAACTTCTCCTCTCCATCTGACGGCTCCGATTGGTCATCCAAAATTTGCTGAATCTGACTGTAAGACGATATTATCGTAACGTGTGCGTACAATATTTGGTAAAAGAACCCAAAAGACTCACATTTCTATTTCACAGGCTTGCAAAATTCTATTTCTATAGTAAATAAGAACTTTGAAGTATCTGCCCTTATGATATACTACGATATGCTTGGTATCCTGGTAATGCACGATTTTATCAACCTCGATTCCCGGAATGCGCGTGGTGTTGAACAGCCTTTCATATTGCCAAGAACACAGCGGCACTAATCCTTGCACTAAAATCTGAAAATGGTTACATTATTCTTTGAGGATGAGTCGTATTTGTGAACGTAACAATTCGGATGTAATCATAACTATGGTTTTAAAGACTCGGAAAAAAACCGATTTTCTCAATTTCTCGCACTTATTTTCGGTTTCGTTTCATGAACGAAAGAATCGGAGAAAACAATTACATTTTTCAATTTTTCCGCGGACTTTTTCGGTTTCTTTCCGAGGAAAAAGCGTTTTTCTTTTCAACTATAATCATAACGAAAAGACTACCAACCGGCTCTAATTCCTGACGTTCGATAAGGCGTCTGTATTGCAAGCAAGAATATATAGCGGATGCAGCGCGCGCGGCTTGCACAGTCGTAGGATGCGTGAGGATAGCGTCGATTCCATAGAAATTTGAATTAACCATCAGGGGAGACCTTCCGCGCAGGTAAACGTATTCCTCCCACCAGTCGGACACGTAGTTGGTGGACCACCAGGACTTGAGGATCAAGTAACGCTGCAGTTTATTTCCGATACCGTTTTGGAATTCGTTGGCCAGCCTCTCCATACGAGCATAATTCTCGTCGTCCAATAATGGCCGTACACTCCTCAGATACTATTTAAACACAATACCTTGAGTCCTCCATAACTAACGACGACAAACAGAGAATAATGAGAATAATATGAAATGTAAAACATAAATAGTGATAGCGAATTCGATTTATATGTGTGATAATGTATGAAAGTATCTATTCGTGTCTAAATATAATTAAAATCGAAGCAATTGAGTACCTAAATAGGATTATAATCGAAGCTCTATATCACAATATCATATAAGTGAGAAGAGAAGAATAAAAGCCCGAACGCAGTTGTAATAATCTTAAGTATCACTTATACAAGATAGCAAATTACAAAATTACAAATTACAAAACAAAAATATCGATTCTAAGCGATATTAACATTTTGCGGCCTGTATGACATTGTCGAGCTCTTTGACTCGTGTTAACTGAACTTATGACTCATACTTAGCTGTACATTTTCGACTGCAAATAAATACCGATGTAAAAGGATTTATTAAAATTAAAGCATTTTTAATCGTAAAGTCCATATTTTTCTCTTACCAACGAACATAATAAATTTAAATATTTGCGTTTGTTTTTTCATTTGTTTCAGACAGTCAAAAATAGTTCTAACTCAGATGTTCTAGCTAAGAAAAGTGAAACGTACGAATATTGGATCCTTTGAGATTATAAACATCGCTTTTTGAGATTTCCAGATGATAAATTATATTGTTATACTATGAATATTATCTATTATAATTGACTATAAGAAAATTTATAGACCTTCTGAAGATGTAATAACATAATCGTCTGATGAAAAATCTCCATCGCACATAGTTCTATTAATTAATATTTTTGCGCTTTGTTGTCTTTCAATTCTGTCGTATAATTATATTCGTCACTTTATAACGCTTGATTATAGCTTTCTCCTGATATTTTAAATTCTTTTAATATCACTAAGATATAATTTTTACTACTAGGTTACTAGATTAAGTTTTTATTTTTCTCCACACATTTACCTCCGATCAAATGGTCTGTTCTTTATGGCTGAACTGGCTGTACTAGTCAGGAAATTTATATATGCATCGAAACATATAAAGCGTGCTTACAAGATCTTCAGCATGTGTAAATTTCTTGAATTAATGCAACCAATTCAGCTATAAAAAACCAATAGATGTGTGTGTGTGTGTGTGTCGTTAATATTAATTTGTCCTCATATTGCAACGTCACTATATCGTCGGTGAATTGCAATTCAAAAATTCGCACGACGATATTGTATTCGCTTCGGTGGGCCGCAAGATGTTAAAACTTTATTATAACACGCTAATGCATTTTTTCTATAATTGCGTTTGAACTTAAATCTTACGTGTATAGTAACGGAGAGAAAGCTTCTCTTCTTAATATATAATTTAATAAAACCGCTTTAGCGGATCTAACCCGTGCCATAGTGCCGGCCACGGATGGCAGCGGCAATCGTGGAAGTGATCCTTGAAAGCTGTACAGCATAGGTTTGTGCCAACCGGAGAATATCTTCACTAGCAGCAGCCAGAGTTTCGTGAGCAGCGATATCTTGCGACCTTTACCTCTCGCCTCGTACATCCACCCTTTGTACATGAGCAACATTTTCAGGATATACCGAATCACGTATATGACCGCCAGCCACAAGAACAGGCCGACTACGAACGATCCTGCCAGATGCGCGGGCACCGACGAACTGTCGCGGGAAAAGAGAGATAGAGAGAGAGAGAGAGAGAGAGAAAAGACAATGATTAATTGCGAAGAAGATCAGCATCGATTCGTGCAATAAATTACGAGGTAATACGCGAAACCAAGATAAGGATATCGCTATCGGGACTCACTCGGAAAGATACGGTGAAATTTTCCCAACGAGGTCATATGGAACCTTGTAACCGGCGAAGTGTATCGCCGTTACGGTAATCACAGTGATCCACAGACTCTCCAAGGATGCCGGATAAACGCCGCTCTTCAGGTTGTTCTGGAAATGATATATGCGTTTGTTCACAGTCGATATCATCAATCGTCATTTCCTGAACGTCGCTAGATTTTCAACCGCACGGCTCACCTGGAACCTAAAGAGTCTCTTCTTCCAGGACCGCACGCCGGACTGCCACACCAAGTGAAGTACTTCTCGGTCGAAGTTCACATCCCATCCTTCGTGGGTTATGGAAAAGCTGAATGCTACGGCCGAATGGGCTTCCGCCATTCTTTGTTAACACCTTCCTGCACAGATTATATAGAGATACATCAAGCATACATTCCACATTGGTGCGGCGAGAGTTTCTGATAAGGTAAGGAAATGTCTATAGAAATAATTAATAATTAATATTAATAATTAATATTCAATTTATAGTTTTCAAGTTATCACAATGTCCTTCACGGATTTGTCGCCGACGTTTCTAAAACATTAAACCGTTCACTTCTTCATCGAGTGAGAAATGACTCAAAACTGTGTGCGAAGTCGCAATAAGTCCATGAAGAACACGATGGTAACTCGAAAACCAAATTGAATATTTACTTAAACCGCAAAAGCCTGAAATATCAGATCAATGTAGCATTAATTAATTCGATCGGACATTAATTAATTCGATCGTTTGCTTCGGGAGATTTGATTGATATTGACCGTCAATTATTAATTAAAATATAATATTCAATAATTACCAATGGCCAGTGGTTATCGATAAGTGGCCGATGATAGTACGCGAATATAGTTTTTCCTTGATTCGCATGAAAAGTTCAACGTATGTTTGTATGTATATACATACATAATTTTATCTCAAACGTCTCTGAGGTTTGCCCATAAACAATTCGAGCGACGAAGGATTAAGCCTGAAATATTTAGGAGGGAGCGAGTCGGTCGAGGATCGATGGATCGCGCTTGATCGCGCGCGCGAAAAAAAAAAGAAGCGATTCATCACAAATACGAGCTGCAACGTGGTAGCTGTAGCGACAACGATACTGGGTGGGCGCAGATACAGCAGTTGACCTTACTTAAAGTCATAATTGCGGTGCGCATGGTGCGTGAACGCATCGTAGGATCGCGCCACAAGCTGGTAAACACCGGGCATCATATGGTCGCGAGTTCGACGCACTTCTAAACTCACGGCAGGTGATGTGATTCACCGAGGCCGGACACGTTCGAATTTCGAAAGAATGCCAATAAGAGGGACTCTGCGTTCGCATCGTCTCCATCGAAGGTTTCTTTATTATATAGGTTTTCTACGAAGATAAAGATAAAAATAAAGATTCTCTCTCTCTCTCTCTCTCTTTCTCTCTCCCATCTCCCATTAAATGTTTCGAAATATATATATATATATAGAGGGCATTTTATGTGGACCTATTTCAGCAGGTGGAGAATAGAAGAACAATTCAGTTCATATAAATATGTGTCCTATTTGACCTTGTTTCAGAGTTACAGCTATTTTTGTCCTCCTCAATAATGTATAGATACTTACCTTCATAAGAGGTGCTCGAAATGACCGCCTTCGATCTATATTTATAAACAATGCATCGATATCTCCTCGATATTTCCCGACTTTATTGATTTCACACATTCTATTGATTGAATTTACTTATTTCTGTTTGTTCTCCTATTAGCAGCACTTAATAATTTATTAACTTGATGTGTTTCACCGCTAGAGATTATCTTACGTGTTATGAAACACTATGCGTGTATATATAGTATATTCGATTCTATACATAGATTCTAAGTCCTTCTTGCCTCTTCCATTTTTTAATAGTACTTAACGTTACATGTGATGAAAAGATAATATTAAAAGCATGACGTGTTTATATATTACATATATTTCTCTCTGTCTCTCTCTCCTTCGTAGGTTTAATATAAAATATATAAATTATGAATGAAAATATATAACGTTTCTTAAATTAGACTCTCAAATTAATTTTTATCTTAATTTGTTTTCGACATAAAATTATGCAAAGCTAATTACTGTTAGAAATAAACCAATAATATAACTACATTATGCGTTTCTTTCATGCGATTAAATGGAAATGTATGTTTGGCATATTTAAATTTCCGCTGAACCGCCTTTTGGAAAAAAACTAATCAGCATCGAATCGCTATAAACGTCGGAAAATAGTGGGATCATGAGTTCACAATTGAGTCAGACTTTTTCAACAGGCGCGCATTTTTTTTGCAAGATATGATCAATATGATAAAATTTCATCGAGAGACGAGGCTTATGTGATAGGTAGTGATTTTTCATCTTTCCTCCAGCGTTCTCACGATTTAATGCCACTATTTTGGTGTATTTACATGCGAATCGACGGTTGTTGCGAAGTGAAAGTTCCATGAGAAACTTCGGCGAGGTGCACGACGCGAAATGTTAGACTAAATTACGGCGGTGTTACGTTATTAAACAACGACGTTGCAAAACGGGCACGATGACGCGACAATTTTCGCGCGCACGTTATCTATAGGTCTGTTCGTTTTCGCTGCACCGCTGAACTAGTGCAATAAGTTGAAGCGAGACAAGTATATGTTTTCTCACTTCAACTTATTGCACTAGTTCAGCGGTGCAGCGAAAACGAACAGACCTAAGCTATCGTCGAAATAATAATTTCTTCTAGTCTTCTAGTACGTGTCGTCTCGAGGACGAGTACTAAGCACGGCGCTCGGATAGAAAGTCCGTCCGCGCGTTTCACTCGATTTCCACTCGCATCACGATTGAGAGGAGTATCGAGAGAACGGCGACGGAGGAACCACTTTGGTGACGACGATGACGACGAGAGATCGGGAGACCGATATAATACAGTTATAATTAACCATTGACTGCGAGACTGCGAGAGTCGCGAAGAAATATCAGCGTGCGTGCTACTTCATCGAAGAGAAAAGCGATCGGTGATAACACGCGTGGGAGATGCACGCGGAATGACGGTCACGCTTTCCAGTTCGTGTATTTTTCAGCATTTTCAACGAGAGAGCAAGTGAGTACGATAGATAGCCAATCCCTCGGGTGAGAATTAGCTATCTATCGTATTCACTCGCCCTCTCTTTCGTCACCGTAAAGTCAGACCAATTAACTGATTGATCGTCACACGTGTGCCGTATTTAAACGATCGACATCTCTCGTGATGTCGTTCAACGAAAAAAAAAAAATATTAACACATTGTTGACCGGTCACGAGTTAACTCGTGTCTTTCTGCTCAAACGTTGCTGACCGGCCATGAGTAAACTCGTGATCGATGCAAGATACATTTGCGCGATCGAAGCAAGATACATTTGCAAAACCTGTTGTGTACCATTATACGTAGGTGATTGCCACCGTTTATCATACCAAAAAGAAATATTAAAAGTTAAATATTAAATAAAATTTATCAAAGTTTATTAATATTGTTTCACTTCCACATCCAATTACGAAATAATAGCCGATGACATGAGAGAAATTCTAAGTAAAATTGCCGATCAACAATGTGTCAAAAAAGTACTAGGAACTTTGGTTTAAAATTGATTTTTAAATAAAAATGTTATGATAATTATTGTGCACGTTAATTATATTGCACGTGTGAAAAAGTTTAATTTATTTCTTATTCTCCGTAATTCGAGTTATCTTTATTTTTAACCATCAGATAAAAAGATTGGTCGGATCCGACCGGATCTATATTTTAATGCTTCCGCGAGTACGCTTGTAAAAAATTATATTTCATATATTTCAGATATTTTACATATTTTGGATATATTTTATTTACTTTTAAATAGTTTATAACTTATTAGAGTGAGAATAAAAAATGCCTAATCGAAAAAATTAGTTGAAATTCTATAAAACGCTTCTAAGGGTCGGATCTGAATCAATATGAATTTTATTATATGAAAGTTAATATAATCCCATAACAAATATTCAGGCAACATTCATTTAAAAAAAAGCAGTAAACGTAAACACCCGTTATGCAATTTCAGAATCGTTGCAAAGTGCCCGATAAATCTGAAAAAAATCAAAATTGAAAATTTTATTAATTGTCCATTTATTATCTGGCAATTATTTTTAATAATTATAAATCATTAGTGAAAATTGATCTTATAAATTCTTTTTTATAATTCGTTCAACGGTTGTATTTTAAAGGTATGTTGTGCCATAAAAGTCTTATCTGTTCGCATTTTATGTTTCATAACATTTTATTCCTAACCGCTTTAAATATATTACAGGCCGCAAAAGTACGTTTTGAAATTCAACAATTTTATCTATGTTTTTTTTTACAAGGGAAAACTTTGCATATTTGTAGAAAAATATTTAAAATAATGCTAAAAACCACGTACACGCATACAATGACTTGTAAAGAAGTTAATTAGCGGAATACCAGATCTATGAAAAATACGAAAATATATAATGTTTGACTGTTATGAAAAATTGTCTATTTACTTCTGTTTGTTTGCAATGACTCTTTTTTGTTTGTCGGACAAACAAGAATTATGGATGGACAAACGTGGATAAATTGTGAACAATCGGTTCTAGTATTTAATTTCAAGAAAATGCAGTCAGAGGTGCTCCTAACGGTGATTGCAGAAATATTTCTATAGGATGAGGAATCGAGTGTTTTTCTTCCCTGTCGATTCGCGTGTTTGATCGGAAGATACTCCGATGTAGCGGAGCCGTTCTCCGCTCCTGGATTATCATCGCCGCGCAATCTGCAGGTAGTAACCATTCTCGGTTGAACGTATCGTCAATAACCTTGGACTTTGAACGACGGCTCGTCCGGCTGGAAGAGTCGTGATAAATTTAGCGAATAATCGCATGACTTCCCAACACATTCCGATCTACCACGTTGCAACGTAGACCTCAAAACGTGGAAAACGTATTGTTCGGTCGCCTAATCATTTAACAAATAGAGATGTGGTCCGGCCGATAATTCAACGGCTCGTTTTTATCAGGCGTCATCGTAGTAATCCGCTCGCGCAGAGATGTTTGATGGATGTGACTGAACTCGACGATTTTATTAGTCATTTGCGCAATCTTGATTTATCAAAATTATATGGATCATGATTTAGTTCAATTGATTGCTCGTGGCCGCCTGTCAATAACAAACTGTTGATAAGAGACTTATCCGTTTCGTATCCGGACCGTTTCATACATTCAGGAATGTGTAAATTTCTTCTAACACGAGCTAAAATGAGATTTAATCTTATCTCTGTATCGTTGCTATGCTATTTACTTTTACAACAAATAAACTATCATTGCCAGTGTAACAGCTTGTTAAATTAAAAATTT